GAGGCGCTCCCGGGGTCGCTGGTGCACGCTAACGCCTGGGGAAGAGCCCCTGGCATGGTGAGGGGAGGGGACTCCGGGAACCAGCGCTGCTGCTGCTGCTGCTGCTGCTGCTCGACCCCCGCGACGCGGAGGAGGAAGGGGAACCCGCGCTCTGTGGATGTACAATCGATGCCGGCGCGGAGGTGAAGGATGCGAAGCAGCGCCTGCGGCAGCTTTGGCTGGACTTTGGGCTCCAAGCAGCGGCTGCTGCAGTAGCAGCCTGAGTTACCCGCGAGGGGACGGAGTTGAGCGCTGTTGGAGACACGGTGCCCCTGCTGCCTCCGCGAGGGTGCCTGATCCAGAGAGGACCTCCCCAGCTCCCCCGGAGCGAGATCTGAGAAGAGTCTGCACCACCAGTTTCGGGTTCTCCCTGTGTCCCCGCTCTGTCTCTGGGGTGCAGGGGCTTTGCGGCCCTTGGCTCTGTCCTGTTTGGCGTCATGCTCTGGGTAAGTTCTAAAGTTTTTGGAGAGACATGCTTACAATGAGTGACTCCTCAGGTCCCTGAAATCCAGGTCGCCTCTAGCAACTCCTACTCGCAGTCAGGACGCTCAGACTCTGGATTCCAATCCAAGTGTCTGGAGGCCTGGAAACTTTCTCGGGAGAGCCCAGGGATGCCCCGCCGCTTGTCACCTCACCCTTCCCTGCACTGCGTTTCTCCCTGGCCACCAGGAGCCTTCTCCTGGGCAACTGCCCCTCGCTCACTCTTCTAAACTTCAGAGATCTCCGGCCAAACTGGCTCTTTACTGGCGCCACTCAGAAGCCCTCCTGATCAGCCCGTTTCCTTCACCTTGTTTCTATTCCTCTCGCGGTACCTGGAAACCAGGACCATGAACTTGGCCGCAGACCTGGCTCCAGGCCGCAGGTGGCTCCCGCTACTCTCTCCATCCCTTTGACAGCTGCTGCGAGTCTGGGGGTTGTTGTCTCTGCTCCCAGGCCCGGCCCGGGTCCAAGCGGCCGAACAACGTCAGGTGTTCCAGGTGATGGAAGAGCAGCCCCCAGGGACTCTGGTGGGCACCATCCCAACGTGCCC